GGGGGGGTCCATATAATAGGAAACCCAGTATCCGACTGTTATAGGATGGGGGGTGTGTTCAAGTTATGCCCTCATGTCTAGACTCCAGACGGCTCTTAGGTAAAGTCGGTAGATTTTGGGTTTTGGGGAATGCGTTCCTTTTGCAAGCATTTCAATCATATCTGCTTTGGTCTGGTTCCTGGCCGCAGAAGCTTGCAGTCAGGAAAATGCCACACTTGGCTCCTCGACCTCGGGGCCGCTTGAAGTGGGAGCGAGATGTCAGTGGTGCTTCTGCTTCCTCCGCAGTGCACAAGGGTGACCCGCAAGCGTTCCATGAATACTACGAGGCCCACAAGAAAGAATTACAGGAGCAGGCAGCCTGCATCCGCCAAGAAGCCAAGGCGTTGACTAGGCAGCATGATGGCACCTTGCTGCCTCTCACAAACAGCGACTGGATGGAGTGGCTGCGGAAGCACGACGACTTGTTCAAGCATTCCCTGAACAACGCCACTGCTGCTAGGCGATCCTTTTCGCATCGGTTGAGGCCTGACTCATCACTTGTGACTCCTGCGCCGCGGCTGTTGCCCAAACTCGAAAAACAACAGCGCTGCAATTGGGAACGCATCCTCTTGCAGCAGAAGCAAGGCTGGTTTTGCCTGAAGCTCGCGCCGTCTGTCAAGGTAGTCTGTTACTGCGCCTCCTTGAGAGGGGAAACTTTCGCTGTGCAGTTGGACCCTCAGGAAGGTCAAGGTCGTTGTTTTGTCCTTCCACTGAGCCCCTTGCTCCATGAGTTGCTACTGCCCATTCGAGATGTTTGCCTTAAACATCATCCTCATGTGGAAAGTGCCGAGGTATTTGCTTTGACGTTGCAGTATGCTGGTTACGCAGGTGACAGTGGCCTGCTGCTCGCAGTGACCGGAGCCACTCCGGTGTCCTTGAAACCCCAGGTTCCCCGACGCTCGCAAAAATCACATGATGCTGCGGCCATGAATGAGGACGACGAAGAGGAAGATGAGGATGCCGCCGATGCTTTATCCATGCCGTGCTCCGACTCAGCATCCGACGCTGACACGGTTGTGTCTCAAATGGAGGCAGAAGACCTTGTGGAGGAGCCTGATGATGCCGACGCCAACAGTGCTGGCGAGGACGACACTGCCACACACGGGCAGGACGAGGGAGTGGACGTAGCTGGCGAAACAGTTCCTCGATTGCCGCCCGGGACTCATGTGGTTCATAGTGATGAATACTTCTCTATCGCGAACTTTCACACTGTTTTGGGTTCCGGAGACGCAAGAATCCGCATGCAGAAACGCTGGATAGCAGCTCCTCCTCACGGAATGGGGACTAGCGAGACCAGCAAGACCGTGCCTTGGTTCTTTGTTTTCGGCATCATGAGTTTTTGCTTGAAGGAAGTTCTTCCGCACGCACTTCTGTTGAGTTTTATGGCTGCATGTGCTGCAGGTTCAAATCCAGCATTATGATGATGACATCGCGCAACCTTACCGGACCTTCGTCGTTTTGCGTGCCTGGGGGCTGTGGCGTGCAAGAAGACATGCGTGGCTCGACCATGCTGCAGTCCGCCAGGCGTGGTTCCAGAGAGAACATCAGCGAGTGCAGCGAATGATTCTGGAACTCGGGGCTGCTCCCGGCACGACGGGTTCTCCAGAAGCGGACAAAGCGCTTCTGCTGTGGATGCCTTCTCTATTGCGCTAGTTCTGCGTCTTCCGAGTAGCTGCAGGTCAGTCCTGTTTTGTGCTGCTTATTTGCCAGTACTGGACTGGAATGCCTCGTAGGGCTGGTATCGGGAAGCTACTATAGTGCATGTCACTGGCTATTACTGGATATTACTGGTTATTTGTGGATATTCGTCGCTATTACTTCATATGACTGGATATTAGTGGATATTAGTGGATGTTAGTGGATATTAGTGGCTATTAGTGGCTATTAGTGGCTATTAGTGGCTATTAGTGGAAACTCGAGGCTACTCGTGGATATTAGTGCATCTGGCTGGCTATCAGTGGCTACTCGTGGATGGTAGTGGATCTTGGTGACTAGAGCCTTACAAACCGTAGACCCTCAGCCCGAAACCGTGCACAGGATAGTGAGAATAGTACAGCCAATTCCTGGCGGTTCTGGCAATTGGCATTCCTGCACGATTTCGCGGGCGTGCAGTAGTTAACTGCGAAGCAGTGCGCCTGAGCGATAGCGCAGCAGTCCGCTCTTGCCGACAGGATCTTTGTGGGGGCCCGACAAAATCACGTCTTTGACCTTGCCGTGTCCTTGGTGCAACCACTTGCAGATGTGGAGGGTCACTTCGCCTGCTCATTGTTCCCTTGCAGGTTGTAGGCCTCCGTAACGTCTGCTCTCCCTCTTTCTTGTGCCATGGAAAACCAAGTGCGGGCAGAGCTGCAGAAAAAGGACTTCACGAGCGCGGAGCTGGACAATGCGAGCCGTTCTCTCAAGCGGATGGCTGATGTTTCTGTGGATGACCAAATGATCCACTTGTTCTGTGCTCTGAAGAGGGTTAAGGGTCAAGGTGCAAGACTGAATGCCAGCATCTTGTCCCAGTGGCAAGCCAGGAGCGTGCAGTCCACGACAGTGAAGAGCACCTACTGGGTCGTGCCAAACACCGCACCGGAGCTTGCCCATCCGGATATCCAGCAGCACATCGTAGATCCGGAAGATCTTCCGGAAGTTCCCTCGGGCCTTCTTCAGCAAGGCATTTGCTTCGTGGATCAGGTGGTTGATCGCTCCAAGCTAGGCAAGCATGTGAGCACCATAGAGCTTGCGCTTGGCGTCCAAAGGCGACGAGACCACAACCCTTCAGTTGATGCCCCTTGCCCTCCACCATTGTCACAGCCGCGCCCCGTTCCGAATC